TGATCCTGACAGAATATGACATACAGTATACTACCCAGAAAGCTATAAAGGGTAGTATACTAGCTTATCACCTTGCTCACTAAGCTGTGGAAGACTACCAGTCCACGAAGTTCGAATTCCCAGATGAAGACATCATGATGGTAAACAACTGTGAAGAATTCAGGACATATGACGGACCTGAACAAGGATCCCGATGGACCCTGGTCTTTGATGGGGCATCCAACGCACTTGGAAATGGTATTGGTGTTGTACTCACATCTCTTGAAGGGTGTCATACTCCTTTTACGGCAAGACTCTGCTTCAATTGTACAAACAACATGGCAGAATACGAAGCGTGCATCTTTAGTCTCAAAGCTGCCATAGACTTGGGGATCAAATCCTTGAATGTATTCGGAGATTCAGATTTGGTTATTAGCCAGATCAAAGGGGAATGGGACACCAAACACCCTAACCTTATCCCTTATAAAGAACATGTTTTGACATTGCTCCCACATTTTGAGAAGATTACCTTCGAGCACTTCCTGCGAGAAGAAAATAAGCTAGCAGACGCACTAGCCACAATGTCATCTATGTTTAAACTTAAACGGGATAAAAAGACTCCCCAGATCACCATTGAACGAATGGATGAACCAGCACACTGTCACGAGATTAATACTGAAGAAGTAGTGGACCAGCCTTGGTTTCACGAGGTCAAGAAGTATCTCGAGGCTCAAGAGTATCCAGAAGGAGCTTCAGTCAATGATAAGAAGTTCTTAAGGATATTCTCTGTTAAATTCTTCCTTAGTAATGGAATTCTTTACAAATGCAACCATGACTCTGTGTTACTTCGATGCATAGATAAAGTTGAAGCTGAAAGGATCATGGATGAGTTACATGAAGGCACCTTTGGCACCCATTCCAGTGGGCATATGATGGCAAAGAAAATCCTACGGGCAGGCTATTACTGGTCTACCATAGAAGTAATTGCTATCAACACTCTCGAACCTGCCACAAGTGTCAGATTTATGCTGATAAAGTGAACGTGCCTCCGGTTGAAACAACCGGCTGAAAATCATCAAACAATGAAGTCGCCATCGAACATCTTTTATCCCACATGTAGATAAAGGTAAACATCGAGAAAACCTGAGAAGGGAGAAGTCACGGTCTTGCGACCGAGAGACCGGGTAAGGGAGTCTGTTACGCGAGGGGAAGGTATTAGCACCCCACACCCCCGTAGTACTCTACGGTATCCACTCTTATTATCTATCTTATGGGTGTGTTCAATCTATGCTTACTGTTTACTATACTACTGAAGGGAGAATACATGCAAAAGAAAGGGAAAAATAATGTAGGGAAAATAAAATTGTGCTCGCTTGGGCCCTACCCCAATGCCTACGTATCCCTTTTGAGGAATCAGAGCTACCGTAGTTCGGCTCTTATGTTTTTGTTTGTTTGTGTTTTTTAATAGACAATGTTAATCCTTCCTTCTGCCGCAACTCGACCTTTGGAGACTTATGCGTTGGCACAGAAGTAAACTAATCATGTCCTTACCTGAAAAGGGTTTTAGAGAAAGGTGCTCGAATGCACAAAATGGTTTGAATTGGTTTGTGTTTTATTACCTTGAAAAGGGTTTAAGTAAGATTAACATGTTTTTGATTTGCTAAGAAAAGAGGTTTTTGTTTTAGGTGCAAGGATGCAAAAAGGGAAAGAAAAGAGTCTACGGGAGACTAGCCTATTTCTAACCTAATTTTATCATACAATGGTAGCCCTACATCAAGGATGAAAGGGGAAATTTCTACCTAATGTTAGCATGCATGGTTAGCAACCTAAGGTCTAACTTGCGTCCGAACAGAGCAAGCGCATCCTAAGGGAACATGGTATGTACAGGGATAAAGCAAGCAAGCCATCAAACAGAGCACACCTAAAGAGATCCTGCCTAGGTTAGCATGTCGAAGAAAGTCTAACAAAACTATCCTATAGGGAACATGCAATGAGAGCGAAGTCGTGATCTCAATTTCTAAATTGAGTGACTCATCGATCGGCAAGAAATAAAGGAAAGCGATAAAGTCCTATAGGGAGAATGCACTGAGAGCGAAGTCGTGATCTCAATTTCTAAATTTAGTGACTCATCGATCGACAAGAACATAAATAAACACAAGCACAACACATATAGAAATGAAGTACGGAATGCCTGCTACAGGTCTTTAAACAGCGACTTCGAGCGCACGCTCTTTATTTCCTACTACACATGATATCTAGAAAGCGATAGCGAAATGCAATAAAGTGTGAAGGAGTACAAGGGTAGTAGCGGAGGCTACCAAAACAAGCAAGTCGTCAGGAGCAGACGAAAATACTGAAAAAGTAAGGAGTGTGCATCGAACAAGCTTCATCAGGAAACAAACAAAGTCAGAAACAATACCCAATTAAGATAAAGGCAAACGCGTATTGCGAATGCAATGCATAATCATAAGTTCCTTGCATAATGAACAAACGCGTCAAAAATAACATGGCAAAGCGACATGAAGATATGAATAAGAATTAAAAAAAGTATTTTTTATTAGTTTTTTTTAATGTAAGGAAAATTCTAGAAAATTTAAAGAATTAATTCCTAAAAATTTCTATTTCATTCTATCACTTTTTTATTGTTTTTATTACATTTTTACTATATATATAAAAAATGAAAGAAGAAATTAAAGTTAAAAAGATATAAAAGAAAAATAGAGAAGATGGGAGGTGCTAAGCTAATTCCAAGGGTATGCTGCAATAAAATAGGCGCAATGCCCATTGAAAGTCCATGAAGCTGGTTTTTGTTTGAAACTGCCAAAAATGCTCTTTGGGCCACATCAATTGGGATACAGCCCACCCATTCCAACAATCCAATCTCAAACAATTGATTCAATTATCAGTTCTATTTGTTTTCCAATTAAAAGAAATCAACAAAAATTAAGACAAAGAAAATAAGGAATGAAATGGCATTGTTTCACTGGTTAAATGCATTGTGCCTCTTCAAATCCCACGACCTTCTTCTTCGCACCGCCCGTAAATCTCTGTCGTTGACCTTGATCTCCAGGAATCATCACCTCCAGCCCTCCTTCAAACGGAGCCACCATAACCATAACCTTCTTTCTCAATCAACCCTCCGTCGCATTAGCCTTTCGTTTTTTCTTTCAATCGCTCTCCAATTCTCCGTTCTGTTCTCAACCACCTCCTCCGTTTCTAATGTCCGGCCACCGTATCATAAATAGACCTTATTGTTTCCCCCTCCGATCACAAATTCCAATTAGGATCCTTAAGGGACTGAATGTTAGATCGAATCAAGAAAGGGGAAAATCGCAACCCTAGATTCAATTGGCGGTGATCCAACCAAGAAATTTTACCGATTCATGGTCTAAATACTCATACAGCAAACTGCTATACGCATAAAAATCTAAATATGAGAATCTAAGCCTAACTACGGAGTCGAGACGTACCCCTACGATGGTTGCGATATGGGGTTAAGCGGAGGAGATCGAAAACCAGAGAAGAGATTCCATCTGCTCAGGTAACATATTTCTTCAACTCGTTGCTTCTTGTTTTGGTCTTCTTTTTCTCTTTCTGTAACGAGGCTTTTGATTTCAAATAGAAAGGGAACTGGGAGATAAACTCAGTATTACAGAGAGTGTGAGATGGTTGTTCAGTGCTTAAGATGAGGATGATGAAGATGCGGTTGCAAAGATGGAGAAGGTTGAAGCTGGAAGACGAGTAAGGGTGAGTTTATGGTAGAAGTTACAGAGAATTTGAGGGAAAGAATGATGAAGATGAAGATGAATATTGGAGCGTGGGAGAGTAAAGTGAGAGGTTGATGGTGATTTCTGCAGAGATCCCAGAATGAATCTAAAAGAGGTGATCAATTCTATTATGTATTATGTTAGAGACTTTTTTCTTTGAGTTTTTCCTGTGAACTGCTATATGAATGGGTTATTAATTGTGTTTTTTTTAATTCAGAAATTCTGTAGGTAGGTTGTTATGAAACAGTTAGTTGGAAATTAGTTAGGTGGTTAGGGGTTTGTTAGAAGGTTAGTTGGAAGTTATGTTAGAAATAGTTAGGGTGGAAGTTAGAGGTGAGCTAGAATTCAGTTGGATGTTAGTTAGAGGTTATGATTTTCTGTTACAGTTGTTAGATGGATCCTGAATTGGTTATAGTAAAATAGATCCGAGCCTTTGATTTTTTTAGAAATCAGTTAGGGAGTGAATGGTGTAGATTTAACAATGAGTTGTCATGAAAATTTGTTAGAAGTTGGTTGGGTAAAAACAGAAACCGGTTAGTTGTTAAGTTATAATTCCTGTTTGAGCGAGCTGAGATAATAAGAAGTTCTATTGTGGTATTAGAATGGTTTTGAACAACTTTTTGATGCAGGCTGGTATTGTTGGTGTATGAGTTAGAGAGGTAGAAATCCTGTTAGAGAAAACGCTTAGGGGTTAGGAACTGAATTAGTTAGTTTTTTGATTCTGGTATAAGCTGTTAGTAAATTTTGTTATGGAAGTTGGAATTCTGCAGGTTGGTCGTTACAAGTTGGTTTTGGTTGTTAACAGTTAGGAGCTGAGTTGGAGTATGGGATTTTTTTAGAATTTTGTCTTGGTTAGTTTTAGAAATAGTTAGAATGCAGTTCTTGTTTTCTGTTATGACAGTAATGAACTGGCTTTTTGATAAATTGTCTTTGGGTATTTTTGCAGGGACTTGTTGCAGCAGGGTTATAAAGAGATTTTCTTATGGTTTCTTGCTACATTGTATAAGCAGGGCTGAAGGGAATATGCAAGGATGATGGTTTAGATTGAAGCAAGGATTAGCATGCACTCTTGGCAAGCAAATGGACCAAGTTGTATGAGTTGAAAACTATTTATTGAATGGACTTTGAATTAGCATTTGGACTGTTTTGGAACAAGGCATTAATTTCTATTAGGATGCAATAGAAATTTTGAACTTTGTATGCCTCTTTGAAATGCCGGATTTTAGATGTAATGACAATGTTGAATGGTTTTTTTTATGCGGAGAAATTGGAACATGAATAGTATTTAATCTTGAATTTTTGAAATTTTGATTTAAACCTTGTTTTCCAGGCTGGTTTCAAAAGCTCCTTAACACACTCAGCCAGTGCAAATATAAATGCACAAATCCCTTTTGTATCCCCTGTTGGTTTGGCATCGTCAGATTTACCATCTTGGTCCATGCTTTGTGGACCATTCTCTTTTGTACTTTTAAGATCATCTTGAGAATTCTTCCTTTCCTTAGCTACCTCTTCATTGTTATAAACCATTGTGTTATGACCAGACTGCAAATGGATTAGATTGTCACTCATGATAAGTTCTAAGGAGGCACCCTTAATAGAATCACCATAAATTTGTTTTCCTAAATTAGACAACTGTGGCAGAATTTCTACTTTGGCGATATTTTTACTTGGAGGAATGGTTGGGGGAACTCCACTTGCATCAGCATTCTTTTGCTCATTACTACCATTCATTGGATCATACTGCTTTGAGAGCCCAACGGGAGGATCTGGCTTTATGCATGTGATTGAAACAGGCATTGCAGGCACTTGAGTGTTTGCTTGGGAAGGACTGTTGTTTAAATCGTGAGAATTTAAGGCAGCATATAGCTGCGGCAGCTGCTGACCTGATCCAAGGATATGAGCCATAGAGGCTGATAGATCCATGAGTTGGGCAAGTTGTTCATTGCTTACCGCATTTTAAGTTGAAGGATTTATTGAACCAACTCGTGATAAGCCCGAATCCATTTATATTTCATGCCTAGATTTGAATGACAGGAGATGAATTAAGTGAACTTGAAGATGACAACTTGAACTACAAGAATCTTCCAATCTTATCTTGAATCAACCATTAACAAATCATGAAATTGAGATCTTGAACCAATATTAATCTTGAGCACAGTTATAAGTTTCAATGAATCCGAATTGACTTTAATTCTTAACAAACAAAAACCTAAATCAACTTGCCTTCTTATCAAAACTCCTAACCTCGATCTCAAATCCATATTATATTGCTCTACAAGCAATAAGCAATTGAGAGGACAATAATGCCTTGATCACAATGAATCCATAACACCCTCTTTCTATCGTGTTTTTCTATCCATCAAACATCCAGTAAAATGTTGACAAACATGAGTAAAATAGGATATAAACCCTAGATTCATAGCTCTAAAGAGGAAAACTCTACGACCTTATGTTGATATGGAAATAATATCTTTGTAGCTTAAGGAGAAAGAAATATCAATAACCACAGATCACAACCTTAATGCCTCTGCAAAAGGAATCGACCTTTATTCGATAGGAATGCCTTAACCGCTGTAAAACCCTAATCCTTCAAGATCTCTGATCCCATGCCAAATTATTGATTAATGAATGAATAGCGTTGTTAAATGACCTAATGGGAGTTATGTACATGAGAAAAGTGCGAGATGCGTAAGCCAGGTAAAAGTAAAAGGGTAGGACAAATTTGGGGTATTACACCAGTTCCTCTGAATGTCTTGATGGATCCTTGGCCCTTTGCTTATGGGGGATAGATATGATTGGGGAAATCAAGCCGACAACCTCCAATGGACACCACTTCATCCTTGTGGTGATAGACTATTTTACAAAGTGGATTGAGGCAGCCTCCTTCGCTTCTGTTACCAAGAATGTTGTAGCCCGGTTCATTAAACAAAATATCATCTGCCAGTATGGTATCCTGGAGAGGATCATCACCGGCAATGTTATCAACCTGAACAATACTATGATCACCGCCTTGTGCGATCAATTCAAGATCCAGCATCATAATTCTTCTGCTTACCGGACAAAGATGAATGGTGTTGTCGAAGCTGCAAATAAGAACATTAAAAATATCATACAGAAAATGACAGTCACATACAAAGACTAGCATGATATGTTACCTTTCTCTCTCCACGGGTATCGTACTACAGCTCGCACATCGACCGGGGAAACACCCTATTCTTTGGTATACGGCATGGAAGTTGTCTTGCCTATTGAGGTTCAGATCCCCTCTCTAAGAATTATGAAGGATGCAGGTCTAAATAAAGACGATTAGATCCAGACTCGACTTGATTAGTTGAACTTAATTGATGAGAAAATACTTATTGTTGTATGCCATGGTCAAATCTATCAAAAACGAACGATTAAGGCTTTCAACAAAAAGGTGAGATGCCAAGTGTATCAAGTTGGGGATCTGGTGATCAAATGTATCATACTACCGCAAGGAGATCCCAGGGGAAAATGGACTCCTACATACGAAGGACCATTTGTAATCAAAAACATTTTCTCTGGTGGAGCAATGATCTTGACCACCATGGATGGTGACGACCTTCCGTACCCTGCGAACACAGACATAGTCAAAAGATACTACGCATAAGAGACCCGCTAGGTTGACACACCTAGGAAAAACAAGGGAATCCGGGTGAACCAAAAAGGTTCGGGCAAAAATTAGGGATAAAACAAAAAAAAATCTGTACACCCGGCAAGTTGAAAACCCGAAAGGGCGACTTGGGCAAAAAAGGGTATCCCGGTGGATTGAAAACCCGAAAGGGTGGTCCAGGAAAAAGCTAGGGAATTAAAGCGTATGACTATGTACCGTTGGATCACCTTACAGACAACCTGCAAACTCAGGTTCTGGTCAATTTAATCAACTTTGGACAAGGCAACAAACAGACAAGATGCTCAGAGATACGAAGGCTATAGTAGAATGGGAACCCCATGGGATTATTACACATAGCTATCTTTTCTTTGTATTAAAATTTTCATTTTTACAACGGCATTCTCTTACTAGAATGTTTGTCTCACTGTACAAAAAATACTTACTCAAAGTCAATACAAAGATATTCCTTTGAAAGTGCAAAACTATCTGTTTTTCTTTACTCTTGTGTTTTGTTTACAAAAACGTCCAATGATTCATTGTTGAACATATGCATTTGAACATAATTACTGTTTACAAATAAACAAAATAGAAGACAATTATTGATGGCTTTAAGAGACAGGGAAATCTCTCTAAGTTATTTTCCATAAAAATCCCCCGCAATGTACAGTTTAATCCCCAGCGGAACAAAGCTTCCAATTATCAGTCCCCGGTAGAAATCACCCAATTTCCCCGGATTCCCCAAACATATTTTTCAAGCAATACATGGCATCTCCCTTACAACAGAGTTTATTTCTCTAAACTAAAATTCATCAACACTTCTACTTCAAGACATGAAGACTTACATACGCTCAACAACATTCAGGGATTTATTTTCCCCAAATCTAACAAACAGCGCAATAGACTAGCTCACATACGCATACATGGAATCCGCATATCATAAACATTGATAAAACAAATGCATTATATCATACATTTCATACAACATGACTTTGCATTTTAGCTAACATTTTACCCTTTTCAGGATAAGATTAACAGCTACCATTAACAATGTTCAGAGTTTGCAGATACAGTTCAAATACGCTCCAGACACGGATGTCATTCTGATACTCATTCAGATTTAACTTTTGATATAGTTCAGATACGCTCCAGACACGGATGCCATTCTGATACTGATTCAGATTTCAATTTTTGATACAGTTCAGATACGCACCAGATACGGATGCCATCCTGATACTCATTCAAAGACAATTTTTGATACATTTTAGATACGCACCAGATACGGATGCCATCCTGATACTCATTCAAAGACAACTTTTGATACAGTTCAGATACGCTCCAAACACGGATGCCATTCTAATACTTATTCAGATTTCAATTTTTGATACAATTCAGATACGCTCCAGATACGGATGCCATCCTGATACTCATTCAAAGACAACTTTTGATACAGTTCAGATACGCTCAAGACACGGATTCCATCCTGATACTTATTAAAAGACAACTTTTTATACAGTTCAGATATGCTGCAGACACGGATGTCATTCTGATACTCATTCAGATTTCAATTTTTGATACAGTCCAGATATGCACCAGATACGGATGCCATCCTGATACTCATTCAAAGACAATTTTTGATACAGTTCAGATACGCACCAGATACATATGCCATACTGATACTAATTCGAAGACAACTTTTGATACAGTTCAGATACACTCCAAACACGGATGCCATTCTGATACTCATTCAGATTTCAATTTTTGATACAGTTCAGATACGCTCCAAATACGGATGCCATCCTGATACTCATTCAAAGACAGCTTTTAGATACAGTTCAGATACACTCCATACACTGATGCCATTTTGATACTCATTCGGATTTCAACTTCAGATATAGTCAAGATACGAATGTCATTCTGTCACTCAAATACAGTCCAGATACAATCACCTTTGGATGGCATCTATAAGCCCATCTCCAAAAATTGTCCATCATTTCTCCAAATGGCATCTTTAAGCCCATTCCCTATACAATCAACCACAACATCATCGAGTGCAAATTTCTGGGCACTCAAGTGTTCAATTATCTTCCACCTTCAAGTCATGAATGACAGATCTGCCAATCTAACTCTTCAGGTTTAAGAAGATTGAACAGGGGCAGCTGTTGTACCCCAAAATTTGCCCTCTCATTTCTCAAATGATCACCCTGAACCCTCAGGTTTTCTTCCATCCAATTTCAAGTTTTGAATTACAAATTTTTCAAGAAAGTCATTCACAAGGGCAAAATGGTCATTTGCACACTAAAAAGTCAAACTTTGACTTTTGGATCAAAATCAAGTTTCGAGAATCATAATTCAGCAAGACATGTTAAAATATGAATTTTGTTGCATTAAGAAAGTCAAAAGTCAAATTTGCTATTGGAAAAGTCAAATTTCTAAATACTTAGAATTTTTTCTAAGTGTTTAAGAAATATGACAAGCTCAGAACTTCTGATTAGATTATCACCATGATGCAAGTTGATTATGGATTAACTTCTAACACAAGAGTTATGGACTCAAACAAGATCTGAAACATTACAGAACAAAACTTCTCCTAGAAATGCTGAGATTTCAAGTTATGACTCCTCAAAAGACACGTCCATGAAACTGAAGCACTCAGCAAATTCTGGACAGTTCCAAGACAGAGTTTGGTTACAACTTCTGGGCCAGTTTTCATAAAGATTCAGTCTGAGTTTGCAAGGGTAGTTCAAAAAAGGTTTACAAAGCATGTTGCAAGCTTCTTGGAAAGTCTGAGAGCTCATTCAGAACATGATGGAGCAAGGAGATACAAAGATCAGAAGTTAGATGTTTATTCTAAGTTACGATAAAGCTGGACTTCTGATTCAAAATTAAGCAATGATGCAGAATCTCACATTGCAGGATTTCTGGTTTGATCAATCTCATCATCATTTAATGCTCACAACCACTTTTGAGTCTTTATCCAAAGAATTTCCCCACGTGTGGCTTAGAAGTACCTTTATTGTCTTGGAAAAGCAAACTTTTGTACAAAAGTGTGCTGGGCCCATACGTTGCTTTTGCTTTTGAGGTTACTTTTCCTTAATTCTTGCTTAAAAATCCAGCTTAGGCGCTGCTAAAACTGCTGACCACCCTACCTATTTGAAATTACTTCAAGAGCAAGTCAGCGCCCAGCTTATGATGGTGGTGCCCCTTGACATCTCAAAACTACTAAACCTTTGCCTATAAATTAGACCTTATTGGCAACTGTAAAAGGGTCGAAAAATTGAGAAAGAAAAAG